TGCGACCCGACTGCACGACTCTTCCAATCCGCGGCCCCGGGGTCCAGACCCGTCTCGCCCCAGATCCATGTCTGCGGACCCCCCCCACGGGCCCCCTCACGGCCCCAGAGGCCGAGGCCGAGGAGAAACCGCTGCGGGTCCGATTTCGATGGCAATCGAGTTCGATGGCATCGACTTCGATGGCAAGAGGAAGGGGAGGAGGAGGAGGAGGAGGAGGAGGAGGAGGAGGAGGAGGAGGAGGAGGAGGAGGAGGAGGAGGAGAAGGGGGAGACCTGGGGCCGGATCCATGGCTGCTGCCCCCCCCCCCCCCACCACGGGCCCCCTCACGGGCCCCAGAGGCCGAGGCCGAGGAGAAACCGCTGGACCTGGAAAAACCGATCCCGTCCTCGGAGATCTAGGCCGGATCCATGTCTGATCCCCCCCATGATCGGGTCGGGCGAAAGGGGGGGATAGCACAGGGGGGGTTGAGAATCAGCTCACGCAGCTGATGGTCCCGGCGCCTCCCTGCGCCGGAGGCGGCCATGTCTCGAGGACTGGGCCCCTCAGTGGGGCTGAAACCAGCTGCACGCAGCAGATTTCGTACCCCCGCCCTTTCCCTGTATCCCCCCCTTTCGTCCTGCCCGAGGGGCGGGGGCGCGCACCACGTGGAACGCCGCGCCCCCCCGCTGTGACGGACTGTACAATGCCGGACGCTCTGCAGGGCGGCGCTGGGGACGCACTGGGCGGGGAGGAGCATTGCGCTATGGGGGGGGAGGGGGGCGAAGGGGGGGGGGCGAGGGGGGGCCCAGACATGCGACGTCCTGTTTTTTTTCCGGACGGCGTCCCCGCAAGTCCCGACCCTTTCCCCAGGACCGGTTTTTCGCCCTGAATCGTTATTTGACGGTCCCGAGGCCCGGCGAGGGCCCTCCAGGGCCGAAAATAGCCCGAAACCGCCCGTCCTGATTTTTCACGACGCGATCCTGTCTGGGGGCATAACGCGCGTTATGGCCCAGAAGGTGGACAGAGCACTCCCGGGCCCGGCCGGCGCCGCGGGCGGGGGCTCGCCTTGAAGCTCTTGGCCGGGCCGCCCCTCCGGGGCGAGGGCCCGCCCCCCCTGCTCGAGAGGCGGGGCGAGGGGGCTCCCGACCTGGGGCGCGGTCCTGCGCGTTCGGGCGCGGGCATAGCGCGGGCAGCGGGAGGAGGAGGAGGAGGATGAGGAGGAGGATGAGGAGGAGGAAGAGGAGGATGAGGAGGAGGATGAGGAGGAGGAAGAGGAGGAGGAGGAGGAGGATGAGGAGGAAGAGGAGGAGGAGGAGGAGGAGGAAGGAGGAGGGGGGAGGAGGGGGAGGAGAGAGGGGAGAGGGATGAGGTGTCATGCTCCATGGAAGGCAGGCGGCGGAGGAGGAGCAGGGACCCGCTGCCCCTCGAGAGGGCGGCCCCAGACGCAACTCCCGAGCGAGGTCGGCGGCAGATCATGGAAGCAAGACCCTGGGCAAAAAAACCTGGGCTCGGGTGGGAAGCTGGGCGAGGGCTGCTAAAACGGTGGCTGCTAAAACGGCCCTCCCGGAAGAAAAAAACAGCTTCCAGGAATGAGGTGCGGCACGCGAAGCAGTCAGCGGGCTTCTTCCAGGAAGGACGAAGAAAACTTCCCGGAGGTCGATTTTAGCAGCCACGGATATAGCAGCCCTTGCCCGGGGGAATCTGGAGAGGTGAAAGGAACTGGACTTGTTTCACCGACGCTTTTTTTCCGGTCCCGCACTGGGATCCGCACAAAAAACGGATTATGTTTTTTGTCCGGCATCCTGGTGTATACATGTTTTGTTGCTTTCACGGGAAGACGGGGAAAAAAGAAAACACCACACCACCCCGACGTCGTCCCCGACCCTCAAAATATCCTGGGATTGAAAAACAGCCCGCCACTGGTAATGTATACGTTCCAGTTTCCGAAGGTGGGCGACGAAAAGAAACGGATCTTACAAGCAAACTGGCATAGCGAAGTTACGCGGCGGCTTGCGCGGGCTGCCAGCGCGGCATGCTACACTGGAAACGAGAGCGTACACGCGCGATCTTACGCTGGAAGCTTGCACGCGAATGTCGGTGATCTCGACCCATTGTCTCTTCGTCGCTGAGACGAGATTCTGGATAGTTAGAAGTTAGAAGGGCCTGCCTAGACCCGGGGACTCCCAACCCTGCCCAGACTCCAGACGTCATGATTTATTCATGACGTCGACCCCCAGAGATCTCGACCCATTCCCTGGGACCCGTTTTCCATCCCGAGCCGTTTCTGGACGGTCCCGAGGCCCGCAGCGAGGGCCCACAACGGCCGAAAACAGCGATAAATATCCGGCCGTGATCTGTTCATAACCCGAGCCCAGACATGCGACGTCCTGATGTTTTTCAGACGGCGTCCCCGCAAGCCCCGACCCTTTCCCCGGGACCGGGTTTTCGTCCTGAGTCGTCTTTTGACGGCCCCGAGGCCCGGCGAGGGCCCCCCGGGGCCGAACATAGCCCGGAACCTCCCGTCCTGTAGGGAGCCCGCAAAGGACGTACGCGCCCAGCTATGTACATGAACACGGCCCCTCGATTCGCGAGACCTGCCGCGCGATACGAACATTCGCGCAATGCGAACTCTCGAAACCAGCGTGGATTCATGTACATGTAGGTCCTTCTTTCGCTCCTGATCCTGATGCTTCACGACGCGATCCTGTCCGGAAGGGGGTCTGGGCGCAAGACGTGCCCGCCCCCCGACGTCCAAGCTGCAGCGCCCTCGCCACGGCGGGCGCAGCCCCGCAAGGGCCCCGCGGGGTGCGGCGCGGCCGCGGGGCCGTCCGTCCGAGCGACGCCCGCCCCGGCGGCGGGGCACACCGCAGGCTCAAAGACATCGGAAGCCAGGCTGCTCCTCCTCCTCCACCGGCATTCCTCCTCCTCCTCCTCCTCCTCCTCCTCCTCCTCCTCCTCCTCCTCCTCCTCCTCCTCCTCCTCCTCCCTTCCCTCCTCCTCCGGCGCCTGCCTGGGCCGGTTGCCCCGCCAGGCGGGGGCAGCAGGCGGGTGAGATGTCTGGCAGGCCTGAGCTGGATGGAGAGAGACTGAGGAGCAGGTTGGGCTCGGAGGGGGCTCGAGGCTCCTCGGGTCCTTGCACGGCTGCTTCTCCAGCGCTTCTTGACCACGCAGGCGCCCTGGGGGCCAAAGACGGGCTTCGTGTCCGATTGAGCGTTCCTTATGTCAGCAGCCCGACTACAAGAACTTCTGGGCCAGATGGAAGCGCATGCAGGGGCAGGCCGAATTGAGCCCTATACTGACCCATACTAGCCGGATTAACACACGGGACTCTACCAAATGAGGTATCTCTTCGACTACGGATGCCCCCGCGCCGATGCTGAAGTTAGCCGGCTAAGGGTCGCATCCTAGCGGGACGAATCGCGAAAGCACATCGGATCGGAAACGGCTCGAATCGCCATCGACTCGAAATCGGATCGCTGCGCCTGGCTCTGGCTGGCCCTGGCCGGTGCTGGTGAATCAAGCCGCACCAAATAGGAATGGGAATCGCGGCCCATGCCTGGCAAGTCGAATCGGAGGAGGAGGAGGAGGAGGAGGAGGAGGAGGAAGAGGAGGAGGGGGAGGAGGAGGAGGAGGAGGAGGGAGGAGGAGGAGAGGAGGAGGAGGAAGAGGAGGAGGAGGAGGAGGAGGAGGAGGGAGGAGGAGGAGGAGGAGGAGGTGCCCGCCCCCCGACGTCCAAGCTGCAGCGCCCTCGCCACGGCGGGCGCAGCCCGTCGCAGGGGCCCCCGTGGGTGCGGCCCTGTCTGGTTGTCTCCCTCCCGCCTCGGGACCAGCATGTTCCATTTGAAGGGGGGGGGCCACGAGGGAATTCCCCACGAGCTCGCTGACGCACCTCCAGGACGCTGGAGGCTTCAGGTCCCCAGCGCCAGGGAGCTAAGCTGCACTGCAGCCCGCCGTCCGCGTCGAGACCTTTGGCAACCGACGGGTGGGAATTAACGGGCGAAGAACGGTATAAAAGTTGATTTTATACCGTTCTTCGCTCGCTGAGGGAAGGACGCCCTGCGTACCGCCACACGCTGACCCCTGGCGCAGCGCAAAGGCGGACTTGGAGAATGGTGTCGGCAAGACTTGGAGGCTTGGAAATTGACACCAACACCAACACAGGGGGTTGCCTCTACCAGGGGAAGGTGATCCTAGACTTCGGGGTGAGAGTGGACTTGGGGGGAGAGTGGACTGGGGAGAGCTGGGGGGGGGAGAGTGGACTTGGGTGCTTGCTGCTGGTAGAGCTGGTCGATTCCTACCCAGGAAGTCTTCCTGGATAGGAATTGACCAGCTCTGCCTGGGCCGAGGAGCCGAGTGGCCTGCTCTTCAAGAGCAGGCCACTCGGCCCCTCGGCCCACCGATGGGTTCACCCGAGGCCTGCTTGGTCATGCCGGTGCATGCCTTTCGCACCGCGGCTGGTCAGAAACGGGAGCCTGGACAGGAGGAACCACTCTCCTGCCTGCTGCGCCGCCCGCCTCTCCCCCTGCGGCTGGCCGAGGGCGAACAAGGAGAAGGGGAGGAGGCGAGTATAGGGGCAGCAGCAGGGCGGAGGCGGAGGAGGGCAGGCCGTCGGCTCACCCTTGCGGCTGCGCGGCAGACGGCTGGCGGCGGGCTCCCTCTTCTGGCCCTCCCCTTGGCATGGGGGACACGGGTCCCGAGGGAAACGGGTCCCGGACCCCGGGCCCTCCTCCCAGGACGAGCTCTTCACCCTGCATCGTGCTCGGACGGCCCTGGGGCCCGTAGAGGGCCCCGGGGAGGCCAAAAACACGGCGAAAAAACACTCCTAAGACAGTGTGTCCCCCAGGCCCCGTGTTTGCCCCATGGCGAGCCCCGCCCCCGCTCCCCCCTCTTGTCACGCCTCGGCCGGCGCCGCTCGCCCGCAGGACGGGGCCGCAGGGCGCCCCCTCCCCGGCTGCTGCGGGGAGGCCACGGGCGGGGCCTCGGGCGGATCAGGGCGGCCCCGGAGCTGGCGTCTTGCCACTCGCGGGGGCCCAGGTGCGAGCATGCAGGGTGGCGGGCGCGCCCGGGGGCGCGCGCGCGGGGGCCTCCGCGCGGGAGGCGCTGGCGGGTCACGGCGCCGATCGCCGGAGGTCGGCAATGGCGCCCAGACTCGCCTGGATGTCCCTGATGATCGCTCTGCTTCCAGTCTGGTCGATCTCGAATATCCTCAGGGCCTGCAGGTAGCACTGCTCCGCCATGGCGTAGTTGCGCACCTTGCAGTGGACGTAGCCCAGGGCCTTGAGAGTGCGGGCGACACTCCTGGACTGCGAGCCATGGATCCGCCGCGCGAGGAACTCCACATGTTGCAGGCATTGCAGAGCCTTGTCGTTGTCGCCCAGTTTCAGATGCTGGATAGCGATCTCGCGCTTGATGTCCAAGGCCTTTGCGTCCTCCTGGCCAAGATTCTCGACCACGACCTTCTCGGCGGTCTCCAGAGCCCTCAGCGCCTCGTCGGCGCGGTCCTCCTTGGACAGCCAGGTAGCGAGACGCACCGACGCGTCGGCGAGCACAACCGGGAGCGACGCTACAGTGTGCAGGCTGCTCACGACGTCGTCCTGCTGCCTGATGGCCTCCTCGACGTCACCGCCCAGGTAGACGGCCTCTGCCACCTGCAGCTGCAGCCGGACGTGCTCCTCGCCTTCGGGGAACTCCGAGTGGATGAGCATCGCGTCCTCGAAATGCTCCTTGGCCCTCGGGAAGTCTTCCTGCTGCAGGGCGATGCGACCGAGCATCTCGTGAATGCGCGCCAGGCGCTCATCGCCGTCGCCGTACACCTCCGTCGTCATCTTGCTGGCCCTGGCGAGGCACTGCTTGGCGTCGTCAAAATGCCCAGCACCCTCCTTCGAGGCCTCACACATGGAGTCCCGTGATCGCGCAGCATCGCCGATGCATCACCGATGCATTGGCAATGCATCGGCGGCCTCGGCGATGCATCGTCGGCATCTGCGCAAACGCATCGGCGATGCGGCGCTCGCTATCCACTGACCCCATCTGCTCGGACCCCATCTGCGAGGCCGAGACTCCTCCAGGTGGACCACGCCCTCGGCGATGAGGCAGTCCACCTTCAAGCGCTTGCTCTGCAGGGCGTCCTCCACATCTGAGGAGACCGACAACTCCGCCGCGCCGAGGTGCTCCCGCGCCTGCGCGAAGTACTTACCCTCGGCGTAAGCCTCTGGGGGAAATCAAAAGCTACCGGTACCGCAACTCCTAGAGGCCTCCTCGATGGGGTCCGAGCAGATGGGTTCGGAAGATCGCGCCGCGTCGGGGATGCATTGGGGATGTATCGGCGATGCATCGGTGACGCATCGGCGACGTCGGCGATGCATCGCCGAAGTCTGCGTGGAGAACATCCAAGGGCTCCCAACTTCGCGCTTCGCGCTGCGCGAAGCGCGAATAACTTCGCGCTCTCGCGCCGCCTCGCAGGGGAGAAGAGGAGCACGAGGAGGAATCGGAGCCGAACTGCGAGGCGCGAAGCGCGAATAACTTCGCGCCCTCGAGGGCGCCCTTGACATCGGGCTCCACATCGAGCCGAATCGCCAATGCATGGGCGATGTGGCGCGATCCACGGACACCATCTACTCGGACCCCGTCTTGCAGGCCCAGAGCCAGTTGCTCCCCTCCCAGGACCTCTCCAGGGCTGCGCTCTGACCAGAAGAGGAGGAGGAGAGGAGGAGGAGGAGGAGGAGGAGGAGGAGGAGGAGGAGGAGGAGGATTTCCAGGATTTCCGCCATCACGTAGTGATAAGAAGGCTGAGCTCAGCACTTGGGAAACAGGTCGCGATCGATTCGATTAAAATACTCGCGCCTGGCTTGGTGATTAGGTGGGGGCGACAAGGATTACCTAAGCCCCTGAGCTGGGCCTGACCGAAAAATCCGCACGACCCACAAAACCATAATCCAAGGTCTTTGTGATACCGAAGGGCGTGTGAGGGATGCGTCCAGCCACCTGCCAAGTGTAAACTCCGTCCAAGGGGGGCTCGGGATAACTTGTCATTCACAGGCAGGGGAGGGTTGCAAGCGCTTTTCAACCATTCGGACTCTTTGTCTTTGGAACACGAACTGAAACAAACCGAGCACGCTCTGCCATTTTCGGTCAGGGTGTGGGCAGAAGCGAAACGGGCGAGGGCGAGAGGAGGAGGAGGCCGAGGAGCAGGGGGACCAGGCGGAACCAGGGGAACCCCATCGTTGGCCTTGATGGCCTGGGAAGCCTGAATACAATCCAACCCTGCTCTAAGAAGACGCCTCCTGACTAGTCTCGCTTTGCGTTCGACTTGGTGCACTCGGAACCTGTCGGTCTCGGGGACCCTGGCCAAAGTGGCGGCCGACCCCGCAAACACATCAACGCACGCGTTCCCTAACACAAGCCAGCTGTCCCACCCACGCTGGAGGACCTCGCTGGCCGACAAATGGGATGGGACCTGCAAGACAACAATATCACTAGCACTCCTGTCCTGAGCAGCGAGGGTGAGACCGATGCTGCGCCACAAATCTGCCTGAGGGCCCACAGGGCTGGCACTCGTAGACGCATGCCACCCTCGGGCGACCTCGGCACAGTCAGTGATGTAAACTATGGGTCCAGTCGTGAATCGAATGGTCCATTCAAAAGCCTGAACTTCACCCCTGGGGACCGTTTGGGCCGACCCTACCAGGGGTCCAGACAAAAACGGACCGAGCTCACAAGGCACAAAGCTAGTACACGTGGCAACCGCACACCCTACTCTACGCAACCTACTATCATGGGTATCTTTTCCCCCCGAGGCGTCCCCGAAGACGTGCAAAGGCTGGTCCCGAGCCCCCTGGCCGAGACACCCAGGACCGAGACGCCCCTCGGGGAGATTTCTTCCGAAAAAAACTTCTTCCTGAGCAGGTGCGGTAACGCAGGTCCACTCACTGGGGATCACACCCCTCATCCAAAAGCACGGGCACGCTTCATGTTCTGCCTGAGCCTCCACGGCCAGACAATCGGATTGTGCATATGCTGCTGACCCCTGGTTTTTACTGCACAACCAATTGCGGTGCAGAGGCGTGTCGACCGCCTCCTCGCACCGCTCGCACTGGTCGGAGTTGCTGAGGTTGGCCGAAAATTTACGCTCCTGCGTCCAGTAGCCGCCCGTGGCGATGGTCACCATCAACTCCGACAGCTGACGGCCCTTCTTGGCGTGGAGGAGCATCGCGATGTAGGCACGGTAGCTCTGCCAATCAGCTCCCTGCTCTAGGCCGCCGCCACAAAACAAGCCAGCTGCCTCTTCCCAGAGTTGTCTGTACAATGTGTCCTCGAACTCCTGCAGAAGTGGTCGCGCCTGGTCCAGGCCAACAAAAGCATATGTGGAAAACTCCCAAGTATGCTCCATATTGCTCCCGTCACTCGGCACCTGCCACTCCGTAGCAGACTTCAAGATCCATCCAGCTTGTAACAAATACAACACTGCTGAAGACATTGGCCCGCGAACGTGACGACTCCGCTGCCCAGCAGGGACAAGGCTTAGCTTATCCACCGTGCGAGACCACGCCAACCGAATAGACGGACGAAGTCGTGGTTCTCGCAACCAACAATCAAGCCACTGCGTGATGCAAAGCCTCGGCAGCACCACTCCTGGATCCGCTCCTGGCAACCGTAGAGCTAACAGAGATGTCAAGCAGCGCCCCCGCTTGTGCGACCCCGCTGCAGCTCCTAACCGTCGCCTGTGACTCAGCATCACCGACCCAAAGCATCCCAAGACCTGGTGGCCATATGAGGCCGATGCCTGAGGGCCCGTCCTCTGGATCAAGCTCGTGGTCGACCACCGTCTCGCAGCTGCTGCAAAACGTCGAAGCCGTTGGTGCGACGTCCCTGACTTCTTCACGCGCTTCCGCGCTGTGTCCCTACCGTGGCGACGTCCTCCCGCGAGATCGATCCCAAGGTAAGCGGCCTGCTGCACAGGGGCAACCTCGATGCCGAGACGACGCAAACTCCGAGCTACCTGCACCGCGTCCTGGTGGATGGAACACACCACCACACTCTTTGCCGCGATGCCCAGCTTGAGCCTCCGAAACTCCTTCACCGTGGTAGTGACCGCCTTCACCAGAGTGCCACGAACATGTTCACGACTGCCCGACGCGCGCTCCAGCAAGCCGTCGATCCAAATCCTCTGAGACATTGACGGGTGAGCAATCGCCAACTTCTCGCATACAACTGCTGTGATACATTTTGCAAATCGAGTGCCACTGCGCGATCCTTGAATGACCGACTTCGTGGCCTGGAATGGTAACGAGTACGAGTCCAGCTGAGACAAAAACCTAGGCGCCATGAACAACTGCACCTCCAAAAACAACACTACTGGAGGATAGCCTTTCCTGATCGCACACTCCGCCAGGATGGGCCATTCGATGCCGTCGTAGAAGGCCTCCACGTCCAGCAGGGCCTGCCCATGGGGCAGGTGCAGGGATGTCTGTACCTCGTCCTCCAGCGCCCGCACGAAAGCCTCCCTCAGGGCGCTGTTCCCCGCGAGGGCAGCATCCCAATAATCATCCTGCTGGTCAGCCCAGCCTCGCACCAGCGGCTCCCGTGCGAGCGACCATACTCTGCACAGCATGCCGAGCAGCCCGATGCACCGATCCCCACCCGACTTTTTGCCGAGCAGACGACCCAGCACGCACAGCACCTGCCACGGCCAGCTGATGCCCTGCTCGATCATCGTGAAAAGCTCCACAAGGTCTCTGATGGCCTGGTCTGGCAAGCGACTGAAGTCCGAGGGAGACAGCCTGTCCACCCCTTGCCCCGCGCGGGGCTTCATCTTGGCCAGGGCCCCCCTGACCTCCTCGATGGAGAGGGGTACCAGCTGCTCCACCTCAGCGTGCTCACGAATCATGTCACACGCCCGCATAATGTCGTCGTGCTCTGACACTTTGGAGGACCACAACTGATGCCACCGAGATATTTTGCAGTCAACAATCTCCAGCGGGTGCACCAGCTTCTTATCCCCGATGTGATACTCGTCCACCTCTGGAGCCAGATCTTTGATGGACCTGTGAACTGCGCCCAAACTGTCCACCGAGCCAATCCAACTCTGGAAGTCGCGAAGAGACACCGAAGCTGCAAGATTCTGCGCTCTCCTCGCCGATTTGAACGCCACCTCCTCCAGTAGCACGAGCTCGTCCAGGGACTGAGCCTGCAAGCTCCGACGTGCTGCAAGGAATTGGGCCCAGCTGAGCCCGAGAACGCCTGCGAAACATGAACCTGCTCCGTCTGACGGCTGATCCGCTAGACCCAACGCTGCTTGCGCAAGATGCCCCATCTGCAAGCTGCCGTTGTTACGCCGCCGATGTCGACACGCCTGTTTGAGGATCGAATGTCCTCTGCTCCACCATGCTGCCACACCATCGCGTAGCGGCTGCGACCTGACTCGCTCTGGCTCCCTGACTGGACCGACGACCAACTGAACGCCGTTGGCCCTCGACTGCATTGGTGCCGTCCCTCCGTGATGAGAAGCAATCGCGCCCTCGACCGTGGTCACCCATCGGGCGAAGCAACTGCTGATAGGCAGGATGTGGCGCTGCCCAGCCGAGAAAGCGAGGGGCCGTCTGATGGGGTTCCAGACGTCCTCAAGGGAGTGCGGAAGCCACGGAGTTTGAGCCGCAACGGCTGCCCAGGTGGAAGGGGGAATGGCGAAAGAGGGAAGGGCGGCCGGAGCGGCATCAGCAGACGAGGGCGGATCAATCTGACCGCCAGCCGTGCTGACGCCCGAGCCCCCAGGACGCTCGACAGTGGGGACCGCAGAGACATCCCTCAAAACTTCGCCAATTACAGGAGACCTTTCATGCTGCGCGGACTCGCCAGATTCAACAACGGCTCCTAGATCCCACGCATCCTGGTTGCAAGCTGGCCGAAAGCAGGATTCTGACGCCCACGGGTCCTCCTCCTCGTCCTCGAAGGCCCCGAACTCGACAAGGTCCCCGAAATCGTCCGAGCCGCTTCTGGGCTCAGCCACCTCCTGGGGGTTCGGACCCTCGGGGGGGTCGGGACCGTCCTGAGTGGGTTCGCCAGAGGGGCCAGCTTTTGAAACAAAAACATATGAAAAGATCTCGTCACAGTCGGCTCGTATCCTGTCTTGGGCAATATGTGACCGAACCTGCTGCTCCGCACGCGCCCTGCTCGACTTCGACCCTGCCACGGGACTGATGCTCGGGCGTGGGACCTGCGGCAGGCGCGGGGCGGTGACGAGAGAACGCTGCAGCAACTGCTCACCAGAACCGTGAAGTGTGAGCTCCAAACCTACATGTGGCCCCCACGGGACATCGGATCTAGCTTCAAGAGACTTAATATACGGCAACGCATTCTCAGACGACATCACAAAATCGATATGCGTACTACCTGCACTCCCGACGCAAGTGTAGTCCACTTCCGACTGCCTGATGTGACCCCCTACGCGCCTAACAAAGCTGGACTTGCGAAAGGTGTCAACTCCGATGTTGAAATCTCCGATCGCTATCCAAGGCAACTGTAGCATCTGGAGAAGAGCTCCCAATTTTCCGAAACGCTGCGTGTTGGCACCCCCGAATCCCTGCGAGGGGTGCGCATAAAAAAGAATCAAGACTAAAGAGTAGCCTTGGCAGTGCACCACTGACGGCATAAAGCTGTCGAAAGCGTCAGCTCCATCAGCGCACAGTGACGTCACTTCGGACGCCTTAGCAAACAAACGATGCACGTTGCGGTGGCCTGGCGCCCAGAGTGCCTCGCCCCCTTCGTTGGCTCTCTGGACTGCGGCCGCGCTGGTGCCCTTCCCCGTGTTCCTGGCCATGTTGTCAAGGAACTTCCACTTGCAAAGCCGAGACTTCTTCGCCCGCTGCGTACGAGTGTGGCACCCTGCGTGAGTCTCGACGGCCCCGATGAGATCGTACCTGGACATGGTGTCCTCCGAGCTGAGGAAAGGCCATGACTTCTTCCCGAGGCAGGTGATGTTGCCGAAGAACATCCTGACCTCTGAAACCTCCTGCGCCTCCGATGATGACAAAGGTGCTCCGCCCGCTGCCAATGAACTCGACGGGGCACCTGACGACTCCGATGAGAAAGAAGAGCGAAGAGGAGCCGCCGCTAAAACTGCCTCCTGCTCAAGCGACTCCGAGGAAGGTGAAGGCTGCGCCGCCGCAAAAACGCCGCCTCCACTAAGTGCACGTCACTGACTCACTTTGCTAGCGGCCTCAGCCGCCTCCTGCCCAGCTGCCGCTGCGGCCCTGATCTTGGCCATCTCCGCCTCGATCTCGGCCTCGGACGGGCTGCCTGGCGTCGCTGCGACCCCCGTGGCGCCAGGGCCGTCGCGCGCGCCCCCGCTGCTGCGCCCGCGGCCGCAGCCGCTCCGCCAGCCGAGGGAGCGGCTGTGGCGGCCGCTCCGCCACCTGCAGGAGGACAGCTCCCAGGTGGCCCTGCGGGCGCAGCCTCGGTCCCGTCAGCGGCCCCGCAGCGCCTCCTCTTCTTGATGCGCTCCGCGACCTGCTTCTTCAAGGACTCGACGTTGTCGCGCCACTTGGTGATCTCCTCGGCCTTGCTAAGCACTGACTGCTGCACCGCCTTCAGCTCCGCCTCAACTTTGCGGAGCTCCTCTTTCTCCTCTGCGCTGCACTCAAGCTCGTCCAGCTGCTGGAAGAACTCGGTGTCCCACGTGAGGTTGAAGATCGGCTCGGCCGTCTTGGCGGCGGGCGACTCCACGACCGCGCCTGTCTCCTTCGCCAGGGCCTGCGCAGCGCCTCGGCGGTTGATCTCCGCCAGGGCGAGCTCGCGCGCTGCCTCCGACTCCTTCTCCCTGGCGACGCTCAGGTTCTGCTCCAAACGCTTCACCTGCTGCGCTGCCTGCTGGTATTTTGCGCTGGCATCGCGCCACGCACCAGCAGCGCGGCGGACGGCCTCCTCGGCCCCCAAAGGCTGGCCTGCCGCTGCCGCTGCCTGCTGGGACTGCTTCAGCTGCTCCTCAAGAATCTGCCGCACCTTGGGATCCTTGACGACTGCCAGGGCCCCCGACAGCGCGACGACCGTCTGCTGCGTGGCGGCCTCGACGCCGATGCTCCCCTTGGGCGCCGGCTTGATCTCCCGCTCGAGCTGCGTGTCCTTGCCGTTGCCCCTGTCCTTGCCCTTGCTCTTCTCTCCCTTGGGGACATAGAGCTTCACGGGCCTGTTGCAGACGCGGCACTTGAACCCGTTTGCCGAGAGTTTGGCATTGAACTCATGCGTGCCGCATCCCGCACACGTGCTCCAAGGGTTCGCCATGGCCCTGGGAACTCGTGTGCTGGTGCTGTGTCCCCACTTTCGTCGACGGGATCTGCTGCGCTCTGGCGCGCGGACGACCCGCCGTCCCCCAAGCACCTCGTGGCGGCGTGGGGCTGGCCGAGTGCGAAGCCAAAATGGTGCGTTCGTGCCAGAATGCTTGAGAGGAGGAGGAGGAGGAGGAGGAGGAGGAGGAGGAGGAGGAGGAGGAGGAGGAGGAGGAGGAGGAGGAGGAATGCCGAGGCGAATCCAGCCGTGGCGAAGAGGGCCTCCCAGGAGGCCCAGAGAGGCAAACACGAGGGGTGGGCAGCGGTATCGTCACCCTTTCCTCCTCTGCACCTCGACCAACGCCAGCTTCGCGCGGATCGCCTGCGCCTGGGGGAAGCCGTGAAGGTACACGAGCACGTTGTGAAGCGCCACCTGCTTCATGCGGCACTCCGCCACCGCGTCGAAATCGCCCTCGTCCCGCAGCAGACTCGCCTGCTCGTCCAGGCGCTCCAGCTGCTCGACGGGGTGCAGGCTCTCATCCACCTCACAAACAATCAACCAAGGTTCACGAATCAGGTGCTGTGTGTACCAACACCAAATAACCTCATGCCCGTGAGAATAAACACTAGGGGATAATAAAGTTCGGGGTTCAGGGAGAGATAATAAAAGTAGCCCAGCAGACCTCAGCATAATCTCGAAGTAAGAGATGATCAAGAGGAGACCAAGCCGAGCACGTTTTGAGACATCCTTGGCGTTTAGTTTTCATAGAATATCCTCAACAATGGCTTATCTCTCATGAAACTTGTTTTTTTGTAAGTGCTCGTGTAGGGTAGCTCATGTGCCTCAATTTCCATGGATAATCAACCCCAGAGATAAAAAAAAGTTCAGGCGAGCGTGGGGACAGAGAGACATATAAAAGAAGAAGAATACAGTAGAAGAATAATAATAAAGAATAAGAAGAGGAGAATAAGAAGAGGACGAATAAAGGACAAATCCAAAGTTCCAAATCTATCAATTTTAATGTACAAGCGCTTTATGAAAATTGATGTTTTTAAGTGCTCGTGTAGGGTAGCTCATGTGCTTCATTTTCCATGGATAATCAACCCCAGGGATAAAACAGTTCAGGCGAGCGTGAGGACAGATAGAAATATAAAAGAAGAAGAGGAAAGTAGAATAATAATAAGAACATTGCTCGTTTCGTTTGAGTCTGCCTCCCAAAATTATTGGTTTCGCTTGACACATCCTGAAAAAGTGTGATCGCTTCGCTTGATGTTGCTATATCAACATCGCTTGATGTTGCTATCTCAACATAGCGTTTCGAGGTGATAATGAAGTTCGGCCTCAGCGCTCGCCGCCCAATTTGAATTTTGTATAGGGCGACGATAATCAACTCTAAACACTGAAGGGGGGGGGTCCCTTTATTATCATCGGCATGCGGTTACCCAGCTACTACATCCAAAGCAATACTGCTTAGAATCATGAACCTGACATGTTAGAAGCACACCATGCTTGATCGGGGCGTCAGAGATTGGAGGTCCAAGAGAGGGGCTCGCAAATCATGCCCCGAGGCACGTGCGCGGATGAGGGTGGGGGACGCCGTGAGACGAGAAGAGGGAGCCATGGAATCCGAGGAGATCACTACCATGGCCCCAGAGATGAGTTCCACCCCCACCCAGCCACCACCAACCCGCTGTATGCCCAGACTCCTGACGCCATGATGGCTTCACACCGTCGAGCCCCGCAGGCCGCGACCCGCTCCCCGGGATCGGCTCTCGTCCGGAGCCCACTCCTGACGGCCCCGGGTGAGGGGGCCCTGGGACACACAAATAAATACACACAAATAAGAATATTCCCCATATTTTCCTATATTTTCTGGGTTTCTGTCTTCCCCCCCACTTCCCATATTTTCCCATATTTTCTGGGGAATCGAGGATTAATTGTGTCTGTGTGTTTCTGTTCCTCCTGACCGGGGCCCGGCCTCCGGGGCCCCTTGCAGGGGCCGAAGATGCAGAACACCCTCCCGCCGTGACTCCCCTCCTGTCCCCCAAGGGCTCCCAGCTTCGCGCCCCGCGCTGCGCGGAGCGCGAGAGAGCGCGAATAGCTTCGCGCTCTCGCGCCACCTCGCAGGGGAGAAGTGGAGGACGAGGAGGAATCGGCGAGGCCGAACCGCGAGGCGCGAAGCGCGAAACACTCCGCGCCCTCGAGGGCGCCCTTGCCGAGGGGGTCTGGGCAGGCCGCCCCGGGATGGCTTGCGTGCTCCCCGCCAGCTCCGACGCGGCCGACTCCGGCGCCCGGCTCGGGCGCCGGCCCCGCGCCGGCGGCGCGGCGGGCGGGGGCGGCGCGGCGGCCAGCGGCGTCGCGCGGGGGGCGCCGCCCAGCGGCATCCCCGCGCGCGCGCCGCGGAGCGGGCGGGGCGACCGCGGCCGCGCTGAGGGGCGCCCCCCCCCCCTCGTGCCCAGAGAGGGGCTGCGCAGCCGCCCGCTGGCTCGTGTTCTGCCCTCGCGCCGCTGCCCGACGGCTGGCCGGCAGGCACGTCGCCTGCGGCCCGGGGCGGGCTGGCCGGGGCGGCGGCGCCAAAAGCGCGGCCTGCTGTTTCGCTCAGGCCTCCCACCTCTCGCAGGAAGCACGAGGTTGGAGACGTGAGGGTTTGGCACCAACCCCAACAGAGGTAGGGGGCCTCTACCAGAGAGGGATGATCATACATGTTTGGTGTTGGTGGTAGAAGTTCGGCCACCTAGAAGCCCCGAGTATCACCACCATCACCGAGACCAGGATCATCTGCCCACGGTGGAGGCAAACGCCGATGTTGGTGCCAACCTCTAATTGGGCGTCCAGCGAGGCGAGGAACAGCGAGAGAAGCGAAAGAGGGGGAGGCATCGCAGTAACAGGAGAAGCCGCTCGGGCGCCCGCTCCCCTCGCGAACGCGCGCCTCAGAGAGACGACGCCACCCCTGGACTGCGCGGACATCCGTCGGGACCAATTGCCCGGGGCTGGCCTTGCATCCCGAGCCGCTCGCGGATGCAAGACAAACCCAGGACGAAGATAGCATCAGGTGTGTATAGATCGAGAATCTCTGAGGTCCGGCGGCTCTGGAGTCTCGGGCGCCGGGCGCCGCGGCCTTCTCTGAGCGTTCCGGAACGCTCTGAGCACATGCCTTGAACGCTCTGGAACGGACTCCTCCTCGCCCTAGCCTCATATCCGATGATGGCCCCAGACTCCCCAGATCGGCCTCCGCAAGTGCGAAGAGCCTGCCGCCCCCTCGGCAGGACCATAAGGGGTACTAAAACCGTAGGGGTACCAAAACCGGGTGGGGTGGGGCGACAAAACACACATGTTCATCAGAGCACAAATGTTAACTTTGACCTGATCCAATGTGGCCCCCTCGCGCGCCCGGGGGCCCCGGGCACCCGATGCGTGACACCCGATCCCCGACACCCGATGGCACGACGAACATCTGCACGGGAGCGCGGCCCGCCTGCCCGAGAGGCGGCGCGCGCCCGACCCCGTGTCGGTCCGCCTGCTGCCGCTCTTCCTGCTGGTCCCGCCGCCCCCTGTGCTGCTCCCGCTCGCCCTCCCGCGGCCGGCAGCCGCTGCTCCTCTCGCCCTCGCCGCCGCCCCTCCCAGACCTCCGGCGCCGTGCTTCTCTTGCGACGCTCCCCTCCCCCAGAGGTCCGGACCCCTTCCCTGGGGCCCAGCCCCCTTTTCATCCCGAACCGTCTGGAGCTTCAGGAGTCAAAAGTGCTTATACAATGCCTGCACGGAGGAGGGGTGGTGGGGGCGTGGCCAGGGAAGAAACCCGGACTTCTCGCAAGCCGCGCCGCCCTTTGCAAACCGCGCTGGGCCAAAAAGGTGCGCAAGTGCGCCCCGGCTTGCGAGAAGTCCCGGTTTCGTCGTCGTCGTCGTCGTCGTTGTCGTCGCCGGTCCTGCAATCGCGAGCGGGGGCGGCGTGGCGGGCGCTGCAGGGGCCATCGGCGTCATCCCTGGTGGGGCGGGGGGGCGCGCTCGCTGGGCACACTCGGGGGGGCCGTCGGCGGAGGGCGGGCGGCGAAGGGGGGAGGGGAGACGGAGGCCGAGGGGAGAGGGGCATACAGGGGAGGAGGGGGGGATGGAGTCAAGCACGAGGGAGGGGGGGGGGGCGGGAGAAGCTGAGGAAGCGGGGAGGGATGGGCTGGAAGAGGAAGCAAGGGGGCAGGGAGAGGGACGCAGGGGATGGGGGGGGGGGGGGGGCAGAGACGGACCGTCTGGGGGAGGCAGAGGCTGATAGGGGAGAGGGGGAGACGCAAGGCGGGTGGGGCATGGCAGGGGGCACGGACGGAGGGGAGGCGGCGGGGGGTAGGATGGGCGGGAAGGAAGAGAGGGTTGAGAGGGGGGTGGTCATGTGGATGGTAGAGGAGAGGGGCGAGGAGGAGGAGGAGGAAGAGGAGGGGGGGGGAGGGGAGGAGGAGGAGGAGGAGGAGGAGGGAGGAGGGGAGGAGGAGGAGGAGGAGGAGGAGGGAGGGAGGAGTGCGGGTACCCTGGGGGCGCGTGTCTGTTCCGATGCGCGCTACCGAACATAATGACAGGCAGCGGCAAGAGTCCCTCCCTGACCAAAGTCCCACCCCATCCCGCTATTGATTTAGCGCTGCACCAGAGCGTGGGCAGCTGCCAGCGCTACGGCTTCGGACACAGGTGCAGCCGCGCGCATATCGTTGTAAATGTGGAATGCCAGCACAAGCCTGCTAACTGTCTCGCGGAGCGAGAGGTCGCTTGGCGCTGGGGGATATGCAGCCGAGGAACCCAAGCCCCACCGTGTTCAAGTGTTGAGAAAAAGGGGGTGGGTCAGGGAGCCCCAGGAGGCGTAATAGGCGAGGACAGGCGAGGTAGTGGGGGAATGAGTCAGGCATGTCCTGGCAGCCAAAAATGCAGCCCCGCGGAGCCAGCACGTGCATGCGGCACGAGGTGGCCCAACCCGCTGCCAGTGTCTTGAACGCGGCCCAGCGCCAGCTGGGTTTTACTGAACCGAGTACGTCAGCGAGCGCCTTCCAGTGCTCCTCCGAAATGTTTGTGTCTAGGGGGAGGCCCCACGAAGCCAACCGCTTCTCGAGCGTGACCAGAAATGGTGATGCGAATGCAGACTGGCGCAGCGATGCTGCGAACGCGCGCTCGAAATACGCACGGCGTGGTGGGTCTGCTGTGCGGGCAGCGTGCATCTCTTCCTGCGCGGCTGCCTGGGCAGCTCGCAGCATCGTCGGCGTGAAAACAGAGGTGCGCGAGGCGGGACGGAGCTGATCGTAGTATTGCACAATCGCCTGAGGAGGAGGAGAAGGAGGAGGAGGAGGAGAAGGAGGAGGAGAAGGAGGAGAAGGAGGAGGAGAGGGAGGAGGAGGAGGAGGAGGAGGAGGAGGAGGAGGAGGGGGGAGGAGGAGGAGGGGGAGGGGGAGGGGGGGAGGGGGAGGAGTGCGAGGAAGAGAGGTGGTCAAGGGAGGAGAGGAGGGAAGGGGGTCGTCCAAAGACCCCTCACGAGTGACTCACGAGGCTCCGCAAGAGACCGCCGTTGATCCGGTAGACGAGCAACAGGTAAGCGTGCAGGGGGGTGCTGAGATAGGGGAGGGGCAGGATGGGACGGGATGGAAGGAGACGAGAGTAGCGTGGATGCAGGGCATCAAGAGGATGAGAGGGCCAGAGGAGGCAGGAGGAGACAGGATGTGAGGCAGGGGGGGCAGCTTCCAGGAAGCGTTCGAGCCTGATCACCGACGAATGTACAACCTAGACACAGGCAAACGTGAATGAACGCAATTTCGACAGAGCGTTTCAGGTACCTTTAACGTGTGGCGGAACATAGAGGCAAGTGGCCAGTAGCTTTATGACCATAACAGATCATCCTCGGATCACGCATAGCACTACAACACATCCGAGTTCAGTAGAACTCCTGCCACACATACCAGGTCGACCTGATGCAAGTGGCAGCGGCCAACGTGACAGTTCGTGTTGATATGTCACTAGTCGCCAACACGTGCTGCAATCCAGCCCATTGCGCGACATCGCGGCAATCCTCGCGCGCGGCTCAGTGCCGTGATGGGGCTTTTGGCGGTCAGCGTACCCGAGAAGAGAAACGCATCTCACAACATACAACTCACCATGCCGCACCGCCGCACCACAACCACCAGCTCTGAACTGCCGTGACGGGTAAGCAACCGATGTGACGACACACAAGAGCAGCAGCGTTCCGCCGCCTCCGAATACACTACGCAGCCGACGCTGGAATAGCGTCGCTCCGCTGCATCAAACTGTGTGTACTTCGGTGTGGGGAAGCAAGGGGGAGGGGGACGCTCATGAATAAAGCCGGAGAGGTGGAGGGGCACCGGTTTGCAGAGTAGGGGGTAGGACAGTGTGGCCGATCATGACTAGAAAAAATATAATCATGACTTCCCGGAGGTCTGCGAGGACTCCTTGGATTGGCGCTGGACCCCCCTCCCTTGCGCGCGGAGCGCGCAGGGGGCGGCGCTAGAGGCGCCGCCAGTATGGCCATACGCCGATCCAAGAATTCCGCGATTAGCTCAGGATCCGTTCTTCCTTCCTCGAGCTCTTCCCGTCAGGCGACGTGGGTAGACTTCGAGCTGCCGAGCCTCCCCTCCTCTCGAAGCGGGGGGCACCCCCCCCCTTTCGTCGCGAGGAGGCGAGGGGCTCCTCTGCCCCGGGAGCCCGACGGGGCTGCTGCCGCGGGAGGAGAGAAAGGGGGCCGCGCCTGGCAGCGCCGTCGGCAGCATGGTCGGCTGCGGCGCCTCTCGGCAGCCCGTCACCGCCGCCGCTCTCGCAACAGCCGCCGCCGCGACCGCTGCTGCCACGGCCAGAGGAGCAGACAACTACATGCACATGCTCTCCCCGAGGTCCGCGCGGACTCCTGGGATCAGCGCTGGACCCCCCTCCCCGGCGCGTGGAGCGCGCGAGGAGCGGCGCCAGCGGCGCCGCAGTGGGGTTCCGTCGCAGACCCAAGACATCCGCGCGGAATTCCGAACAAAACATGCGCATGTGCTCCGTTTGTTCTGCGAGCGGCTACCGTCAGGCCGCCAGGGCTCCAAGGACCGCCGGGGTCGCAGACGCACGCTGTGCCCCCGACCGGCTGCAGACGCCGACGGGGCCACCTCGGAGCCCGCGGGCTCAGGGCGACCTTGGGGCAGCATCTGAGCTGGGAGGCGTCCGATCCTGCCAAGCGTTCAAGTCGGGCTCCTGCAGGATTCCGCGGACCTCGGGGACAGTCGCAGTGGCCTTGCCGGTCTCTGTACCAGGGGGCACACTGGCCGGCCAGCAAATTCCCGGGGCAATCCAGCCGAAGTACACAACTGGCCCTGGCCACGCAGGTTTGGTGGTGCCTGCTTTCCAGCCTTTGAGTTCAACGAGAAGGATGACTAGCAGCGGCAACGGTCGCCGTGCTGCGCCGCTCTCGAGTCTGAAGGTGCTGCCAAGGCCTCCACCAGGAACGCATCGCGTCAATCCCATTGGCCCATTTTCTGTTCCCTTGCGACGGGTTACCCCGAAGATGGCACACCAAACACATACCATACCACGTCTCGTCTGCAACCGTCTCTCCTCCTCCTCTTCGCCTTGCCCCGGCACCCCCTGCCTCTCCCCCTCGTCCACCCTTCTCCTGTGGTGCAGGAAATGGTCCGCTGAAGGGGCAGACAGATCAATCTGGGGAGCGGGGTGTGCGGCGGCGGGGATCCGATAGAGAGGGGGGGAGGAAAGAGCTGGAAGGGGAGGGAAGGAGGGGAAGCCCCTGAGGATCGAACTATCCCAGTGCGACCCTACCTAGGAGTTGGAACCCCTAGGAAAGCAGCATTAGTCGTAACAGTAACGCTAAAATAAAGCTAAACTAAAGCTAAGCTAAAGCTAAACCACAGCTAAGCTAAAGCTAAGCTGAAGCTAAGCTAAAGCTAAGCTAAAGCTAAGCTAAAGCTAAGCTAAAGCTAAGCTGAAGCTAAAGCAAATCTAAGCTAAAGCTAAGCTAAAGCTAAGCTAAAGCTAAGCTAAAGCTAATATAAAGCTAAGCTAAAGCTGAGCTAAAGTTAAACCACAGCAAAGCTAAAGCTAAGCTATAGCTAAGCTAAAGCTGAGCAACAGCTAAGCTAAAGCTAAGCTATAGCTAAGCTAAAGCTAAGCTAAAGCTAAGGTGCACCTAAGCTAAATCCAAGCTAAAACTAAGCTAAAGCTAGGCTAAAGCTAGGCTAAATCTAAGCTACGGGTATGCTCAAGCTAAGCTAAAGCTAAGCTAAAGCTAAGCTAAAGGCTAAGCTAAAAGCTAAGCGAAAAGCTAAGCGAAACGCTAAGCTAAAGCTAAGCTACAGCTAAGCTAAAGCTAAGCTAAAGCTAAAGCTAAAGCTAAAGCTAAAGCTCCCAGGGGACTGGGGGGAACCGCTCCCAGGGGACTGGGGGAACCGCCGGGGGTGTGTGCACTGTCCGGCCCCTTTAAGCTAAGAGAGTAAGAACCCTTCTAGGCAGAGCCTAGGTAGGGAAAAAGACGGAACAAGAGGATGGGAGAGGGAGGAGAGAGGGGGGTGATGTGGGGAGCGGAGCGGTGGTGGCAGTGGGGGAGAGAGAACGGAGGAGGCAGGAGGGATGAGGCGGGGGAGGGGAAGAATGGCCACACGACGCTCGTCCCCTCCCCCCTCCCCCACCTCCCTCCTCCTCCTCCTCCTCCTCCTCCTCCTCCCTCCTCCTCCTCCTCCTCCCTCCTCCCTCCTCCTCCCCTCCTTCCTCCTCCCTCTCCTCCTCCTCCTCCTCCTCCTCCTCCTCCTCCTCCCCCTCCTCCTCCCCCTCCTCCTCCTCCGCCTCCCCCTCCTCCTCCTCCTCCTCCTCCTCGACCTGGCCCCCCTCCTCCTCCCCCTGTGACAGAGGACGTGTGCAACTGTGACACCAGGTGCCCCACGCCCTCCGAAGGGGGCTCCTCAGCAAGGTGCTATGCGCCCCGCCCGGCCATACGTACGCTCTCCGCGCCCCGTGTTTCGGGGGCCGCGCGCGCCCACCTCCCAGGAGCGACACGTCAACGCCTTCCGCGGTCCCGATCTTCCTCCGCCTCCCTCCTCTCTGCTGCCTCCTCTCTCCTCTCCTCCCTCCTCTCTCCTCCCTCAACACTTCAACGAGGGAAGAGGACTGTGAAGACACACCGATCCTCGCCTGGCCTGTCCTGAGCCCAGTCTCGGTGTACATGTCCTCCTGGCGTGGCCTTGGAAGCACATGCACCGACCCTGGGCCCAGGTGCACAACTCTCGCCGCCGAAGATTCTTCGAACGCGACCCCACCGATACAGGTTCGCCCCGCCGCTGCCAGGCGCGAATCGCGAAGCACGCCCGTGGGATCGCGTACCCCGCGGCTGCAGGGCTGAGACCGCGAAGGGCACGGACATGAATGCGCTCCCCACTCGTGGTCCTCGCCCAGCCACTTCTCGGGTGGGACGAAAGGGAGGATGCGAGCATCGTTCAATCGATCCCTATCCTAGACGTCGTGGCCTGGGCCCCCCCTGGCCGTGGTACCAACCCAGATGGGACACAGACCGTTCTCTTCGGGTTTCGAGGGGCACATCCACAACTGGGATGGTGGGGTGGCGGGATCGGGACGGGGATGAGGATACGGATCGGCGAAACGGTGCTGATGATACGTTCCTCATTATGTGTTCACCGATCCCCATCCCCATCCCCATCCGTTAGCAGCTGACTTGAGAAACCACTCTCTGCTCCCAGACCCCCGACGTCATGATTGTTTCATAACGTCGACCTCCCGAGGTCTCGACCCATCCCCTGGGACCGGTTTCTCGTCCAGAGTCGTTCTTTGACGGCTCCGAAGCCCGGTGAGGGCCCCCAGAGGCCGAAGATAGCGAAAAACCTCCTGTAGTGTTTTTTTCATCTAACTGGAGGGGGTCTGAATTGTTATCCGAACGCACTTTTATACTGCGTGTTCCCATCTCGTGCCGTTCCCTTGCCCTCCTCTTCCTCCTCCTCCTCCTCCTCCTCCTCCTCCTCCTCCTCCTCCTCCGTCGTAGCCATTTTGGCTCAAGATGCATTGCTGCGCAGCGCAACGAGTGGACACCTCTAGTCCGAGGCTAGTCTCCGCTAATCTTAGGCCTGTTCGCCCAGGTCTGCATCCTGAGGCCACCAGGGTCACTGGACGTGTTGGCGCAACTCCCATTGAGAGGTTACCTCGGCGATGGGGAAGAAGTATGGGCAGCAGTTCGCCTGGTGCTCGTGCGGGACATGGAACTTCAATTGGCGTATCATTCAGAACGACTACACATGTGTCTTCTGCAAAGGGCCGCTCGACATCTACAAGCCTGCGGAGGAAAAGGAGACGGCCCAGCCAGGCTCTCGGGCCAAAGCATCGTGGGCACGTGAACGTGACAAGGTTGAGGGCACCACGTCCTCTACCAAGGCCCTCCTCAAACAGCTGTCTCCTGAGCTGCGAGGACCGGCTACCGCCCAGGCCCTCCAGCTCGAGATAGAGGCTTACGATAAGGCGCAGAGAGAGAAGACTACAAACAATCCACAATCGGCCAGGCAGAGGATGCCACGGTCAGACACGGAGTACAAACAGCAGACCAGGAAGCTTACCAGATTGGCTGCCAAGCACGCGGCAGCGCAGAAGCACCTGGACGACTGCGAGGAGGAGCTCAATGACCAGGCGATCCTGGTCCACATGGCAGAGAAGGAGCGTGGCGCCGCCTACGCCGACTACGACGCGCTCAGAGACGCCGAGGGCCAAAGGGGGAATCCCAATCCCAACCTCACCTCGGATGGCCTCACAGTTTTGCTTGCCGTCGACGAATCGCTGTTTGACGACATCGACGAGCTTGAGGATGAAGCGAGCCAAAATCTTTTGGGTTGGAAAGGAGAGCTGCAGGCCCACCGCCAGGCCCTCTTGGAAGGCCAGAAGAAGTTCGAGACACCCCTGGCGGACATCCAGAATACGGTGGAGGCTCCTGCAAACACGAAAAGGAAAGCTGCATCTGGAGAAGCTGTACCAGTACCAGGAGGAGGGGCAGAAGCAGCAGACCCAGACGCCGACAAGCTCAAGGAGGACGGAACTAAGCCAAAGCCAGACCGAGCGCGTGATGAAGAGGAACGACGGGAAGCAGCAGAGAAGGTCAAGCAGGCAGCAAAATTTGCGCAGGCAGCCAGAGCAGCAGGCACCAACTGCAGCTTCGACGAAACCAAGAGGAGGTTTGCTAAGAAAGGCAATGGCAAGTCTAGTGATGGCAGCAGTGGTGCTAAGTCACATCAGGGTTGGCACGAAGTTCCTCTTCGGTAACATTTCTCAGTGGGGCCCCCAGGCGGCCCGTTACATTCACAAGGTCACGGACATCTACAAGGTCATCGCTCTCTCAGAAACTCATGTGGAAGAGGAACGGGTCCCTCTGGAAAGAGAACTGTTACGCACAGATGGGTGGAAGTTGTCAGCCACCCCAACGCTCCCCAAGCACACTGGTTATTCTGCTGGAGAATGGGTTCTGGATAGATCTCATGTTGCGAGTGCTACCCTCGAAGCAGTCAGGAAGGCCAGTCGGGACGCCGGCGAAAAGAACCCGTTCCGTGGGTTTGCGCCAGTCGTATGGCATATGCAGTCAGGTAATGGATTGATTACCTCCTCTTACCTTCTCCCTGGTATGTGCAGCGCGAAGAAAAATGAGGACTCGATGAATGCGCTAACGGGTTTCTTACGGATGGTCACCGACCCGTGGATTATCGTGGCGGATTGGAACATGTCGCCACAGGATTTGATTGATTCTGAATGGCCC